CATGGTGAGATTCGAACCTGGATTGCATGGTCAGAAAGCAAACATTCTAACCACTTAGCCAGGCATATATATATATATATATATATATGAATGAAGAAAGATTTGTATGCCTACATATTGAAGACAAATACCTTCCAGCCTCCCCTGCCCACTGCCTCGTGCCGTTCGTCTGACTGAAACATTGAAGTGGATAAATTCTGTATTAGTTTTTTAACTGGTGTTTTTATTTTTATTTTCGTTTTCACAGTTAAATTTATCCATAACAGGTTTGGTAAGAGAGACGGTTGATATTTTCATCTGCTGAAATAGACTATTCCCCATATGAGGTAATTTGTGATTTTTTGTTTATTAATTATATATGTATATATATATATATATATATATATATATATATATATATATATATATATATATATATATAAAAAGGCTTAAACACTAATATTCCATGGTCATAATTTATTCCATTGGAATCGAATACGATCCAATTCATCAGACCTACAAATTCAAAAAAAAACAAAAAGAACAACTCCGGAAATAAAAATAGAATTTGGAGAGAGTGTAAGTATGAGAGAGTGTGGGACGAATGTTAGTGTTAAAGAGAGGGGTAATAGACGGAGAAGGTGGGAGACTAAGCCTTTTTATTATATATTTTTAGTCTCCAACCTTCAAATTCTATTTTTATTTATATATATATATTTTTTTTTTTTTTATTCATTTATTTACAATATGATGGACAAAAATTTCATCTCACAATATCATTTATTGTAAATATCTCTAATTAAAAAGATATTACAAGATTAAATCTACATGGTATGTTTATATAAACATAAGAATATTCTGAAAAATTATATATTAGTTCATTGTATATTTTTGATCTTTTTTTTTTCTGATGATCTGTGAATGATCTTGAAGAATAATCTTTCGTAGCATTTTTTGCTTCTTAATAACTCTGGTCATCCTGTAAAACTGTTGTCTAATGTTATTGAAATTTTATTTCAGATTAGCATCCCTTTCAGATGGAATGCCAAGTAGACAAGAATAAGAACATTTGACATCTTCCCTTTGCTTTTAATCTAGGTCACAAAGCTGCTCAAAACATTTGTGCTGTGTACGGAGATGATTTAATTACTGACAGAATGGCACAGAAATGGTTTTCCCGTTTCAAGGAAGAGAAGTTCAAACTCACAGACTCTCCAAATTCTGGCCGACCTGTTCATTTTGATTTTAATTGCATGTGCTGATTAAAGAAGAAATGTACCCGACCACTTGGGAATTTGCTCAGGAGATGGCAAGCTCTCATGTTATGGTCGCTTGTCATCTCCATTCAATGAGTAAAGTCTAGAAACACAGCGCATGGGTGCCACACACATTTACCAAACAAAACAAACTCCAGCACTTCTCCATTGCTGTCTGTTTACTTGCTGAACACCAGGCTACTCATAGAAACAAAGAGCCTAGTTGGGAAGTTCTGCCACACCCACCATGTTCCTGTCCTGGGTATGACGGTAAACTATGTCCACATCCTACATCTAACAGCAAGATCAGGAGGTTTTGAGGAGCATGGAATTACCTCCTAATTGCTGGTGTTCCCAGGTCCACCTTGACCCAAGGTGGTAGCACCTGTCAGGGTCCCAGCTATGGGCAAATAGTTACCCCCACCCCAAAAGGGCTCAAAACACTATGAAAGTATAAAAATGGGTTTTAATACCAGTAATACTTTTTTGGAAAAATTATTACCAGCAATACATTTTTGAAAAAAAAAATATTAGTAGCAATACATTTTTGAAAAAATATTACCAACAGTACTTTTTGGGAAAAAAATATTGCCAGCAATAAAAATCTTATCGGCATTAAATAACCAATTGAGGTTGATATGCTGTAAAGCAAAACAAACCAAACCAAACCAAACCCACCATATTCTCCTGATTTACCCCATTCATACTACCCCCTTTTTCAGTTGCTTTCTAACAATTTGAGCAGTGTTTCATTCAACAACAATGTGGAGCTTATTAAAGATGGATGATAATTTGACAGCCTTTTTATATATCTAGAGGATTCATTTTCTTCTTTAAACTGTTTCTATTGGTTTTTCTCTAAGTTTAATGTTATATCTAAAAGATCTACTCTCTTTCTGTATGTGTGTATGTATTGCTTGAAATTTGATATATTTGTGAAGAAAGGGTGCTCTTTTTTTTTGTATGTGATTAGTTAGTTTTTGCATTGTATACTGGAAAGAAATCTATCCTTTGAAATGTATTAACATGTGTCCAGGTGACTAACATCTTGATCCTGAAACTATTTAACCTATTAGGGCAGGATGTCCAATTTTTAGAGTGGGGTTACCTAGAAATTAAATTTCATCAGTCCTAATATGACCATTATTCAGCAAGGTAGATTCGGCAAGAAGTGCTAAAATTTTATGGAAACTTTATGCAATAATAGGTTAATTTTGTTATTATTAATGAATATATGAAAAAAAATCTAGGAAGTGAAAGTCACTCTGCCATGAAGTGAGCTAGTAAAATAATTTTGAAAAAGTAGGCAACCTTCAATTTTTAAGTAATTCTTTGAAATCCAAAGGGTTGTCCCAAACCTTTGGTCTATAGTGCATATATACTGTACTCTCTTGTCACTTTTGCTGTATGAGGGTATAGCAGTACAGTTTTTAAAACCTAACAGCCAGACAACATAAGTTTTGATTAAAATGGTGAAGGCTTGTACAGAACCAAAAGACCCTCTCCAAAAGACCCTCCTCAGGTTTTAAATTCAGCGTTGGCCTTTTTCTAGACTGATTGCCAATCAAAGCTATAGGGCCCAGTTTGTCCAGCTATTTACCCATAGCTGGGGGAGAAGAGATGGATTCATAGCTTTTCCAAGGTTATTTGAACATATGTGAATTTAATGCACTTGACTAATTCTAACTCAGCTCTCCAATTTCTCAATCTGAGCCACTATCCATTATACCACTATGAATGCATTATATATATATATATATATATATATATATATATAAAAGAAGTGATAGATTTTTTAATTTATTTTGTTTTTTTGTTATTTTTAGTGGATACTCATATTTGAGGAGATGCTCTGTTTATTTATTAAACAGTATATTAGAGCAATTATTTTTCTTCGATAAGATTTCTTGAATATTCAGGCTGGTAGATGAAAATAAATAAATATACTGTTTAATGAATAAATGGAGTGTCTAGTCAGATATGAGTATCCACTAAAAATAACATTTAAGTAATAAAATATATTTATATAGGAGTGCAAATATAAATATACACATGTTTAACAAATATGTAGAGATAGATAAAGTGGATGAGAAAGAGGGTGAGAGAGAAGTGTATTTAATTTGTCCAATGAAATGTCAATGTTTTGACCAATGAAATGTCAGATAGCAGTAAATAAATAGGATAAAAGGTAATAAAAGGATTAAAGGTTTGTTTTATCAAGTGGGGCTTTTAAATATTAGCTACAATATTTTGAAGTTTGATATTCACAGTTTTTACTTCCTGTCTGATAAAGAAAAATGCCAAAAGTTTTCTGAGGAGTATCAGCATGCATAAATGACCAGCAAAAGTGTTGCATCTGAGCTAAACATACTGATCCAAATAAATAATGTAGTCAGAGAATATTGGAGCTGTCAGAAAGTATTAATATTTAAATATCTAGGTAGTGTCTTAATTGCTGACAGAAAAATCTGATGCCAAAATCCAAATTCACATCAGAATAGTGAAAGATATCTTCCAAAGGCTAAACAAAATATTAAGAAAACAGAAAATTTTCACTTTTTACATTGGACTATCATCCATATTTATCACAATGTTTCGGCCATTGTACGCTCCAGCCTTCTTCAGGTGGTTGGAATGTCAAACTGAACCCATTATTTCACTTGCTGGGGTACACTGTTCTAATGTCTAATGGATGTCAGTTATCAGTTATCTCCTGTTAATTCTCCTTTCCAAGTTTTCCACCGCCTTAACTAGGTATTGAACTCACACTCTTTGGGTCCTGTCAATGGATTTAACTAACACCTTTATCTACTGTGCCATGTGTCCTTGAGGACATCTGTGTATGAATTTCTGGGTATTATAAACCTAATGTCTTCAGCAACCATTTTTTACCAGTGCTCATATTGCAATTTTAGTTAGTTAGATCCAGTGACAGGACCCAAAGAGTCTGAGTTCAATACCTGGTGAAGGTGGTGGAGAACTTGGAGAAGGGAATTAACAGGAGATAACTGATAACTGACATCCATTAGACATGGCATGTCGAACTAGAACAGTCTACCCCAGCGAGCGAAATAAAGGGTTCAGTTCAACATTCCAACCACCTGAAGAAGGCTGGAGCATACAACAACCGAAACGACAAAGATGTGGATGTTAGTCCAAACAATGTAAATAGTGTACATAATACCTCATCTCACAAATATAGACAGATACAGAAAATTTTGTTAGTAACAAAGAAAATATTGCTGAACACTTATATAATATTGGCTCTCGTATATAACAGTGAATGCACAGATGAAGAAGAGACTTGAACATAAATGTGGTTCTGTAGAAGGCTGATGAGGATATCATGGACTGAGCAATGACAAAATTTTATGGGAAATGGTAACAAAAAGAACACTTAGAATCAGAAAGAGAGAGAGAGAGAGTTGAAATTTCTAGGGCGAAGGAGGGCTTGGAGAATTTGGTACACACAAGATATGTTAATGGCAAGAAGCCACAGATGAATGCAGCAGATAATCTACTTAATGAATGGTTGGAAGGTACAGGGGTTAGGAGGGATAGTAAACAGACAAACCTTATTAAGAGCTACAAATGAAGTTGTGGAGAGCCGTGATCGTACATGTTCTGAAAGGACACAGCAAATAGAAGTCAGAGAATACACAAAAAGCTTCAACTTTTTTTTTGCCTATCTGCTTCAAAAAGATAATAAATACATAAAAAAAGATGAGACATGTGAAAAGAAATACTTGTCTTCCGTCTTCTGTAATGACATTGTGTCAAATTGCTCATCATATTCAGAGTTAGTATTTATAGCAATTATAGATCAGAGGTACCACTCACAGCTCTGATTAACCACTGCCTTCTCACATCAACTGTCAGCCTACACCTTTGACTCCCTTACTGCTACCAGTTTAAAATAGACAATGACAATAATGATTCAGGTTTATCATATAACAAGTCTTCTGTGCATGCTGTAGAGCAGTAGACCAAACATAATCAATCACAGAGAATTGGTTTTAACAATGAATTAAAAAGAGAATAATCCTTGTGAAATTTGGCCATTTCAGTGGTGTTGCGCAATAGATTCTACAACCAAAAAAATTCAGCATTTTCAACATTTTAAAAAAAATATTATTATAGATTAAGTACTGCAAATCATGAATATTTTTTTAAAAATTAATTCAGTTGTATATTAATCCACCTACAGAAGCCAAAACAAAATA